CTCCCAGCTCAGGGAGTGGCCACTAATGGAAGATCCAGTCAAAGGTACAGGTGGCTTTCCATGAACTATTATGAAAAACTGTAGCAATTTCCTCCTGAGCTATCAGCACATCGTTAGGGAAAAAAAAAAGAGGGGGAGGCTTCAGGTGAGACAAACACATTTTGGATAATATTTCAGAAGAGTGGAGTCCCCCCACCAATGTAATAGACAAAAGAACGTTAAAAAAAAGAAGTTAATTTGAGACATAGTTTGGCTGACTCCTTGAATTTCTGCTGGCCATAAGATTTTCCAGCTTATCTCAGACTTCAATCTCATTCGAGGGAAAATATTTCAGGATAAAAATCAGGTCTCGAACGTGGCAAGCCAACATTTGGCGGAAATACCAAGTCACAAGGACTTGGGGTAGGGTGCACAGGCTGAGCAGACTGAAAACAAATATGCAATGGAAAACTGAGAAAGCATATCCAATCCTGTGCCGTTAAGGGTGTCCACTTACTGTTACACGACACGTATACTGGTGATTGATGTGCTCTTAGACATGACTTGGTATATGGTACACTACGCGGGTCCAGAAATCAGGTCAAAAAGGGCTAGAAAAAAGTTATGTTCTTGCAGATTTGAAGTCAGGGTGTCAAGGGATACAAACCCGCCAACCTTACAAGCGACACAAGCAAGAATGACTGACTATTATCAGAAAGGCTTAAAAAGCAAAGTAACTGGATTTCAAGAACAGGCTATTGATTATCATGCAATTATCTACTAGTTTCTAAAGCTAAATTGAGCAGAAGAGCATTTAAATGTCTCAGAAGCTGCAGAAAAAAGCACAGGAAACGTTAATATTTTCACAAAGCAAAAATAGAAATCCAAACCACACATGCCAAAATATTACCTTCTAAATCGCAAGTTGGCCAACTTTTTAAAGACTTCTGGCCCTCTGAAATCCTCAAAGCTCTTCCCTAAAAATCCAGCTCAGGTAGAAGATACCTTATCAAAACCCTCAATGTCTATAACGTCACAGAATATATCATCCAGCAACATCTTCGATACAAATCTGTTTTACAAAATGTATCTGTTAAAAGTTCTCAGCTGACTGCCTGCCACAGCCTGCTTCACAAAGATGTTCTAGCGTTTACTGATCTCCCTTTTGTTTTTGCAGTTCACCGAGCCGCCTGTTGTCTTGATTAAGTCAGACCAGTAGTATTTAGTCATTTAAAACAGCCTAAAAACATGCAGAGGAATAAAATATCTTACTGCATACAGAATACGAATTAGTCCCCGCTTCTAATCCTTATTTGGCAACCTGCTCGGAAATTCACTCCCGTTTCACATCTGGCTGAGCATTACTTCACAACTGGCATTCCCATCACTTCTGTTGCCATTCAACAAGTTTTGTGCTAACTTCGTCCCGATCCTTACGGACACCACGCTGCACCGATTTCCTGGGAGGTGTCCTAGTTAAGTGGACTTTTCAATCGTGTGCCTCCTGATCAAGCAAGGGCTGCATTTGCAACTCTCTTGCGGTTGAGTCTCCCAGAGATCTGTTACAGGCTATCTGAGCCCCAAGCTGCCACAAGCATTATAAACCATCTTGTTTCAATTAAAGAAGAATAGTAAAGATCCAATAGCTCACCGCTTGCCAGGCAAGAAATTCTTTGGCTTGACTAGTGTTACAGTTTCTATTTCCATCCACTCCTTCCCTATACAGCGTTAAGGAGGGGAACAACAAATCCCAAGTACGTTAGGGTTCAGGGGAGCACAGTGAAAATCTTTCACACTTCTAGTACCTAAACACACACGTTCCTACACACGGAGACCCAAAGGAGAGTTTCTCTAAGTCTAAAGATACATTTTCACTTCAGGGTAGCATTGAATTTGGACCTGTGACTCTAAAAGCCACGAATGCAACCTGACCTACACCTTGCCTATCCTGTTGACTTTTACAGAGCAAAGCAAAGATTAAATACTGCCCTTCTGCACACGCGGATGCTGCTTTCACCGCAAAAAAAAAAAAAAAAAAAAGGCACATTACTACAGTGAGATTGATGCTCTGCCTCCCCACCTGGGACTGAGCTCAGCACCTCATCTCCGCTAGGATATAATACCAGAACTCAAAGTCAGCTCAATCTCAACAGATGTTTATTAAAATACCAAGTAACAACCCAGGCCTCACCTCCGCTATTCTTAACCACCAAGAATGCCAGCTCAATATAAAAACCACTATAGGTTTCAGATTATTTCTCGATCAATCTTTGACCTCTGCAGAAGACAGTAACAGCAGATCATTTCCGTGGCTTGGATTATCTTCTTTTCCTATACCCAGGAGTTTTTCTTCACATCCCCAAACACACAGCCAAAGCCAGGTAGTGTGCAACTTAAATTATGCCACCATCGTACCTAGAAACTCGCAAAAACTTCAGCTAAGGGACTAATACGAAGCAGAATTTCTGCTTGCATAGCTGTCTAAAAATAATCCCTCTCCGCACTGATGCTCAGGATTGTGACAGTGACAATCTCTGTGGGACAACAGTTTTCGAACAATTTTTGGCTAGCATGGTCCTTGATCCAGATTCTCCATGTGCTGCCACTGACACAAGCAGCTAAGGAATGAAATAGCCTGTATTAGAGCACACAGGGTTCAGCTTTAAGTTCAGAACAGGTTTAGGTCACAAACTTAAAACTACTCCAACATGAAAATCCACTGCTGAAAGTTTCATAGCCTTGGATGAAATAGCTTAATTCCAGGATCCAACATTATGAATTTTGACAAGCCACTGACACTTGAATGAAAATTTAGGCCGGTAACACTACATACCAGGGTAAGAACCTTTTATAGGCAACATCCTTCTTGCTTAGATGGATTAAATTTAAAACCACTATGCAAACCCTCCTGCCGAACTATTACTTATTCAGCCATCACTTACTCTTCTAGAGTACAAAACTATACATAATAAAAGCTACGATTTCCTTACAGTCTATATAAAATCTACTCATGCCTCACATTAAGAGTCCATCAATGTAAAACTTCTTTTATTCTCTCTCATGGAAGTTAAAATCCTCAGAGCACCCTTGGTCACTTGTAACAAAACTGACAAAATATTCACACATCAGTTTCTATTGAAAGGGAAAACACAGAAGAAAAAGATATTCTGAAAACAAAAACAATTCAAGCAGCTACTATCTGAGGAAAGTGCACAATGCATTGAAGAGCTAATTAATTAGTAGGCACATGCAGGTAAAGGCGAGAAAGGCTGCAAAAGCCAGTAGATGTTTTCAAGGCATATACACCAAGTTCTTCCCCCCAACAGAAATTGTGTGTATTTTTTTTCCCCTACCCATTGCTCATTTCCAAGGACTTCCCACTCTGTCCACCAATCTTTTTAAGTCCCTCCTGAGGAAGGTAAGTGCTCTCCTGCCCAGTCCATCAAAACACATCCATTCTCTAACTGAACTCATCAGCAATGCCTTCCTCTCCTCTCATTCCCCCTGTGCACACTGTCCTCACATGGAGGAGCTTAATAGCGTGACATTGTTTATAAACATGAGTACTTCTGAACCTTTCCCGCCTCAGTAAGATAGCTGCTTGCCAAAGATTGTTGGCCAACTATTTCTTGAAGATGCTAAAAATACTATTTATGGTAAAAACAAACAAACAAACAGTCACATGCTTGGAAATCAGAGTGCAACTATTACTCAAAAGGCCTGATAAGAACTGAGAAGTGACATGCTTGTTAACCCAGAAATAATTCAGTGGCCAAGTAAGACTCCTGAAAAGAGTAACCTGTGAAATACCACAGATATGAGCAAACTGTCAGTCTCTGCTACACTTTAAAAGGAGCAAACACGCCCACAACCCCACATTAGCTAACTTTTCTTCTCCTGCAGCACAGGCTGAGCAGTCCCCTGTGATCTGCAGACACCGGTGACTGTGAAAACAGTTAGAATACAGGCGGGAAAGATTTATTCTGAACAGCGTCTCTGGTCTGGAGCTGTCCTCAGGCACCGTAAGCTGGTGGAGCCCCTCTGGCCTGGCAAGAGCTACACCAGTTTACACCAGCTGAGATTTTGGTACGCTGCTCCTTCTCTCCTTAAGTCTTTGCAAGGTTTTAACAGAAAAACCACAGTCCAGAGTGGCAGTAAGGATAACGAACCCGGAATGGAAGCCTCTCTGGAACAGTCCCGTTCCAGACTGGAATGTAATAGCCTTCTCTATGGAGAAGCACGTGCGGTAAGGGGAGGAGGGTAATTAACATTCTTTAACCAGGCTCTGACCACCACAGGGTCTCGGGGAGGAACTCAGAAGTGCCTAGTAGTCTCACACTTAGGCCTGTATCCATCTCCAGCAGCACCGAGAGGGATTAAGAGCTTCTTTTTGGAAGCAGAGCCACACTGAAGTCTCGGACTGAGGTTTTCCTCGAGTGACGGCACTTCTCTGGCCTCTGATGAAGTGAGTTTGTGGAGGGGAAAAAACACAACCGAGCAACCAAAACGCAGAAAGGCTACCGCAGGAGCTAAGGCACTTCCCAAGTTTATAAATAGCGATTATTTATTGTGTCGCACCCTCATCGGCCCCTCCTGCCGCTGACCTTCCCCCCGCGACCCGCGGCACACCCACCGGTGTTTACCGGGTGTCAGCGGGACGGGAGAGGCGGTTTTGACGCCCGCACCTCCTTTGTGAGAGACGACGAGGGGCCGGGGACCCGCACCTCGCCAGGCCCGGCCGCGGCGCCCGCA